TTTAACTTTTAATATCATTGCCTATTCTATTATCTTTCATTTCTGGGTTTGTTTTGATTGCTTTTTCTTATATTAAGGGTTAGATTTTCTTGCTGCTTTTACATACCTGGCAATTTTACTTTTGTGTTTTACCTGTTGGATACTGGATTTTTTTTTTTTTCTTTATGATTTTAGAGAGAGAGAAAGGGAGAGGCAGAGAGAGATGGAAACATCGATGAGAGAGAACATCGACTGGCCACTTCCTGCATGCCTCCCACCAGGGATTTGGCCCACAACATGGGCATGTGCCCTGATCGAGAATTGAACAGGTGACCTTTTGGTGCATGGGTTGATGCTGAACCACTGAGCCACACTGGCTAGGCATACTGTATATTTTTATATTCCTATATAGTTTGGGACATGATAAAGTTACTCGAATCAGTTTGATCTTTTCAGGTTTAGGTTTTAAGCTTTGTTATGCAGGAGCACAGCCATGTTTAGACTAGGGTTGGCTTTTCCCTACTACTCAGGCAAAAGCTTTTGAGTACTCTGCCCAGTGAATTATCAGGTTTTCCATGCTGGTTCGATGAGCTGCAGGGACTGCTGCTTCTAATAATGAGAGTCTAATGCTTTTGGGTGGTTCTTTCCTGGTCTCAGGTAGTTTTTATCATAGATTTGATGACCTCAAGTGAAACATTTTTTCTGTGCAGCTCTCCACTCCTACCCTGCAAATTCTAACTGCCTTGGCTTCCTTGGCTTTGCAGCTCTCTCTCTCTTCACCTTAGGGTGGCTCTGCCTGGGTCCCTCTCTCTGTATTGTGGCCTGGGAGAAGCTCTCTAGAGGGTAAGGTAGAGCAATTCTTGGGCTCACTTCATTTGTTTCCCATCTTCCAAAAACCAGTGTTTCATTGTCTGGTGTCCAGTGTCTTTTAAACTGCCATTTCATACAGTTTGTCCAGTTTTCTCATTGTTTCAGATAGAGTAGATCTAGTCCCTGTCAGCATCTCCATTTTACAAACTAGAAAACAAGGGGGTCTGAATTAGTAGCTGTGAACATTTAATGGAGCTGGGACTGGAATGTAGGCATTCCATGTCAAGACCTGGTGCCTTTCCCGCTGTATCACACTGCCTTTTCTTTATAACAATTTTCTCAGGTAATCAAAGCTTATCGCTTTAAGGTTTATAGCTTAATTTAAACCATTTTTGCTGGAAAAAATTTTTAAGTGATTAAGTACTACTGCCTTCTTAAATAGAGCATTTGGAGCATATTTGAAACTTCATATCGACATTAGTTATGTTTTTGTGGGGGGGGGGGTGCAGTGGTAGTCAACCCTCTCTGATCCAAATAATCCCTTTTTACAATGCCCTTTTTATTCTGAAGAGTCTGTGCCTTTGTCATTCATCAGATGGGGTTGACGCACCATTGTTACAGTGGGGCAAAGGAAAGTTGCAAGGTTTCTCACATAGTTCTCCTTGCTCTCACTATTAAAAAGCATCTCTACCTCTTCCTGCTAATCAGTGTCAGTTACTCCTGTCAAAATGGTGACTCTTCAGCCCGGCCAGTGTGGCTCAGTGGTTGAGCATTAACCCATGCACCAAGAGGTCACCGGTTCAATTCCTGATCAGGGCACATGCCTGGGTTGTGGGCCTAATCCCCAGTGGGGAGCATGCAGGAGGCGGCCAATCAATGTTATCTCTCATCAAAGTTTCTATCTCTCTCCCTCTCCCTCTCCCTTCCACTATCTCTCTAAAATCAATAAAGAAAAAATATTTCTTTTTAAAAAGGTGACTCTTCAGATCCCTGGACATAGAGTTTTTAAAGTGCCCTGGGTAGAAGCCATAACATCTAATTTGATGGATCCTTGCTATGTGCCCTGGCAAGAATGTAACCTCTTTGAAAACTAGGACCTTCAACTCTGCAGAGCCCACAGTTGGGACAGTAAGCACAAAATCCCTCAGTGGGTCATGATGTCTCATGGTAAGTGGGGCTACTCTTACTTGTACTACTTGGTTCCTGGGCTCATGTACTGGGAACAAAGCATCATATAGAGGTCCCAGATTTAATGCATATACTACACCCTAAAAGATGGCATTTTTAGAGTCTTGCCTCTTTTCCTTCAAAAGGCAGTCCCAGTATTCTGTGAGGCTGGCTGCTGCAGGACGTATTACAACCAGTGGATCTCATGGTCATGGGCTCACTCCCACAACTCCTTTGCAGTCAAGTGAAGTCCCCTGTCTAGCAGATGTTCCATACCTGTGGATCAGGCCATCTAAAGATAGTGGTGCCAGCTAAAGTTCTGCAGGCAAGAAAGATAAGACCACACCTAAATAGCAATCCATCCTTATGAGGTGTTGGCAAACTGCTGGCCCTTCCTGGATGGAGAAAGTCCAGAGTAGTTGGATGTTGCCACCAAGTGGCTTGCTGAAGATTAGTGCCTATTGCTGACAGGTTAGCCATTCAGAGACAGCAGTAGCTAAAATGACCTTGTTAAGTGCTACATGCATGTGGTGGGTTTCTTTGTTCCCTCTCCCAGATCTGTTCTCATCCCTATGGCTCTCCTCTCTGCCACTGGGAGGCTGACCTCTGCACTGCATCATCTGGGCTTTCTTGTCCTGTGAGTCTGGTCAGTGCAAGGCCCTAGCAGGAAATCAGAAAGCAGGAGAGAGGTATTTATACCCCAGCTCCCATCTTTTCAAACCATGGTTTTGAAGAAATGGTATTCCTTAGCCAAAGGCCATAGCTCCTGTCTAGCAGATGTTTTTATAGCCCCTCACCCTTTCAGCTAGGGGTTGTAATGGTCTCCCACTGTTGATACCTCAGGGTGCTTCATCAGCATCTGTTGGCTTCCCTTAGCCTGCCCCACTTTGTAAAGAGTCTCTATGTTCAGACTGTCTTCAGTCTGAGGATGCCATCTGTTCTTTCCAAGACCCAAGCAGACACAAGGCAGGATTTTCTTCCTTGCCTTTTAAAATGAATTGTAGATAGTAAAAATATTTTCACCTTTTCTTAATTCACTTGACAAATATTTATTGAGCACCAACTGTGTGCCACGTCCTGTTCTGTTCTTTGACAAAATAGTGGTGAACAAGACAAAGGGGATACAGTTAATAGAAAGGTAACTTCAAGTAGTGATAAATGTCTTCACCCCCTGAGTAATCCTGAGGAGTCTCAGGTGTAGCCACATTAGATTAACCAGTCTAGGACAGTCTTTCAGAGGACCTGGGGACTTTGAGCTAAGGATGAGAGGAGCTTGTTCAAAGATCTGAGAGCAGGGCCCTGGCCAGTTTGGCTCAGCAGTTAGAGCATTGGCCCAGGGACTGAAGAGTCACCGATTCAGTTCTCGCCAAGGGCATGCACCTCGGTTGCAGTTTGTCCCCCGCCCCGTTTGGGGTTGTGTGGGTGGCGACCACTTGATGTCTCTCTCTCACGTTGATGTTTCTCTCTCTCTTCCTCCCTCTTTCCCATTCTATCTGAAGATAAATGCAAAAAAAAAAAAAAATGTCCTTGGGTAAGGATAAAAAAAAAGAGATCTGAGAGCAGGGTATTCCAGATAGTGATTTAGTAGACAAGAGTAAAGGCCAATGAGCTTGGCTTACTCCGTATATAGAAGCTTTTAGAATGTGGTGAACATAGTGCAGTAACATGAACATAGATAGGTGATAGGCAATTTACCTGTGCGTTTGGAAGTAAGAATGACATGCTAACCTGTAATACGGTGTTGGCCTCTTCAGAGTAGACAATCTGGTTTGCTTAGCAAGTATTTTTCAGACTATTTATTGGGTATACACTAGATTATAGTATGGCACCAAAACCTATCTATAACCACCTAGTGTTAACCCTAATTCACCCAACAGTTTTAAAAGATGAGTAATCTATCCACAGAAATAATCTAAAAATTCCCAGAGAGTGAGAGGGATGACAGATATAACAGGTCTTTTTCTCAAAAACAGTTGTGTTCTTGCCCAAATTACAAAGATCTAAGCTAGCAGTTTATTTTTATTTGAGTATTAGAGGAGTTAGTGGATGGGTTACTTGGGACCCATTTTAGGATATAAATATGCCCGGTAGGAATCTGTGAGGGAGCAGAGAATCCCATCTAACTTCCAGCCTTTCTCCCCTGTCTTGAAAACAATTAGGACCACTTATCACTCAGGCTTTCCTACCTTAACCCTGTGATGTGAATTTGGAGCAAAATCACAGAATAGGCTAAATGTCCATACTTATTATTGTTGTGGGCCACGTTATGTTTCTACTACAGAATTAAACCAACAGCTCAACAAAAGTTGGCGTTCTTTTTCTCCATCTTTTCTATTTGTTTGAGTCCCAATTTTCTAAAATGAAAGCCCTCTCTAGGTCAGGGACAAGGTCTTACAATGTCTGTTTCCAGCGCCAAATGCCTGGCACATAATAAATGGAGACCAATTAAGGTTCCAAGAGGTGTTCTTTCTGCTTGTCTCAATATCCACCCTGACAGTCTCTAATGTGAGGGCGCAGAGATAGCTTTCAGCCACCAAGCGGCGCTAAGACGCCATCTAGGATGGACTCACTAAGTTTTCCACAGGGTTTGTAGTTTTGACATGTTAAAAAAATGTTCAGAAAGGTTAATTCACAATTTTAGGGGAATTTTCGCTGGGTATGAATGATGCTCCAGCCAGGGTTGGGCTGCAGAAGGCGCTCTGAATCTCTGGGCGCATCTCAGACCTCTTGGGATAGAAGTGGAAAATCGTACTGAGGAGTCGCAGTAGTGCACGTACGGGGGTGGGTGCAGCCTAGGGCCCCGGGCAGCTGAGGGCGGAGGTGAGCGGTCCGCCAGGCGCTCAAGGGGGCTCCCAGGCTCCAACTCCCTTCCCGCTTCCGCCCCCTCTCCTCTCGGGGCTGGCTGGGCTGCTCCTCCCCTGGGTGGGTCCCGGCTCCTTTTCTGGCAGAGTCTATCTGCATAGAGGAAACTGCCCAAAGTGGCCGTTGTGGAGGAGCTGGCGGCATGGAAGGGGGTGTGCGCCGCGTTTCGCTGCTGCCTTGAGGCCAAGCCGTGCGCCAGGCCGACCTCGTGCGGTGCTTCGGTTCTGTGCCTGCGCCCCGGAGCGCTCAGTCCGCAACCCCAGCTCTGCACCGCCCCCTCGGACAGCACACGCGCGAAGATCAAAGATCACGCCATGAACCCCGGCCAGCGCAACGGCGGCAACACGCAGAAGGGCGGCCGAGCTGGCAGCTGCAGCGGGGGTCGCCCCGCGACGGCAGTAGGGGCTTGGGCGGTGAGCGCGCTGTGCCTGTTGCTTTCCGTGGGCTCAGCGGCCGCCTGTCTGCTGCTGGGCGCCCAGGCGTTGGCGCTGCAGAGCCGGGTGGCAGCGCTCGAGGAGGAGCGGGAGCTGCTGCGGCGCACAGGGACCCCGGGCGCCTTGACTACCTGGGCCGAGCCGCACCTGGAGCGCCTGCTGCGAGAGGTGAGGAGCTGGTGAGGGGGGACGATCCCGCGGAAAGGGTGTAGAGGGGGTTGGAGGGGAGAGTGCCCGTGTGCTGGAAGCCCCGGGCAGTGTGGCCAGCTTGCCAGCTCTGTGCACGCAAGTCCACCCCGGCGGCCTGCGCTAGGGGCTGAGGTTGGGAGAGCAGGGTGCCGGCCCCGAGGGCATCCTGCTGTCTCTGCTCCAGCCTCAAGATCATGTTCCAGGGCAAGCGGCCGTGGGAAAAGTGAGCTAGAAGGGCCTTTTCGGGATGAGCATAGAATCCGCGGTGGTGTGCGCTCCTACTGGTCGCTTCCCGCCTGCGGTCGGCGCCGGGCTCCTCATCTGTGCTGAAGTAACGAAGAGGCTCAAGGAGAAGTGTCTGGAGAGTGTCTCGTCACCGGTAAAAGCTGCTGTTCCGTAGCAGCTGCTCTTCCTAATGCGTGGGACCCCCAGCAGGCAGGCGGACACGGTGGAGGAAAGCCCCAGACAGACCCCAGGGCCGCGACCTTGAAGGGATCTGGTCAGCCCAGCCTCTGCACCACCGTCCCCAGGGAAATTTGTTTTGGAGCAGCTCCATCCTGGAGATGCTGTGTTCTGGGGCTGCTACAACTGAACGCGCACTCTGTGCAATTTAGACCTGAAGGGATACCCACATGAAACCTATAGAGTGAGGGAAGAAAAATAGTCGGGGCCAGAAAACGTGGGTTCCGATTTCAGACGATGCCACCTGGGCGATGCAGATACATCTGAGTTTTCTTGAGTTTGTTGAAAGCATATGAGATTCTGACACTTCTATTACAGTTGCTACTTTGTGCCTTCAAAGCAGGAGCCACATTTGGGTCCTGAAAGTCCTCACCTATCATGTTCATTAAAATCCCCACCATTTGTGCAAAGGTGTGACTCCCCATAGATTCTAGAATTAGAGAGGCTGGACTGACCAGAGCTTTCCTGACTGCGCTCAGCTTGCCTCCCTTTCTGAGCCATCCTCTTCCTCCTGGGAAAGGCAGTTCCCAAGTGCCCTGCCTAAAGGGATATCTTCAGTTGTAGAATGAAAAGCACATGTTTTGGAGTAGAGGAGAGGGAGGGCAAGCCTGTTACTACCAATCCTTGGAACTGTGCAGAGCTGTGATCTTTAAGTAAGGTATTCAGCAGTCTATTCATGTTGAGTTAATTTGGAATCTCTGTGGGAATGAGAGAAAACTGCACACACCTCCTAGTTCACCATACCTATTTCACAGCACTTTAATTTAAGCCAGCATTACATTTCTCCTTGCTTGGTTTTTGGGCAAAATTGCTGCTTCATGAAATGATTTTCTCTTTTCTCCTGGAAAGTGCCTGCAGACATCAGAAATCTTTCCAGGGTCCTGCTGTCAACTCCTGGTGATGGTTTCATAATCACAGCCTAGTATCTATTGGCAAATCCCTAGAGACCAGGGTTTTGAACTGATTTATGGAGGATCAGTAAAATTCCTACCTGTTGGTGCTAGAACTGTGGCTGTTCTTTTGGATAGGAGGCCCCTCTGAGTAAAAATAAACCATAAGCTCGGATGGAGTAAATCAGAAATCCCAGGAGAACCTTTTCGCTAGGAACTGCAAATTGTTTATTCTAATGGGGGTGGGGAGTCCTGGGAAAGTTCTGAGGAGTGTGGATCCTCAAGTCCTGAATTGTGAGGGCCAGCAGGGAGAACCAAAGTTCTCTTTCTTCATCCCTTCCTCCATTAGAAAGGCAAAGGGAACATTTTGAATCCTGGGATTTCTACTTTATTTTTATTGTACAAGTCAGCATTCTGGCATTAGCATGTACACATCTTAGCACATCCTACAATTAACTAAACTTGGTGTCTGAGAAGCATGTGCTCGGAGTACTAACTGGCCAGTTTTTCCCTCCCAGTGGAGCATTAGGGATGCCACATTATAAATGCACTTGGGGTTGAGCTCTGGCTGTTTGGGTGTCCCCAGTGAAAGGTATCTGTCTCCCATGGCCAAGCTGTTCCTGCTTCTACCCATTCTTCTTTCGGATGTCATTGGGTAGAGAATGTACACAACCTGGCTGGTGATCATGAGAGTCCCTGGCAGAGATGAAGGGGCTGTGGGAGGCACCTAATGGTAAGCTGGTAATTGGCTTTAAAAAGAGAAGATATTTTTTGAACTATTAGATATGAAAGACAAATGAATATTGAACTGAAAATAAGGAAAGCACATTTGTACTTGAACATATTTTTCAGTTACAATTTGTTTTCAGTGAAGCCTCTTTTAAGCCTGAACTGAAGTAGTTGTGTATGTGAGGGTGCCTGCAGGTTGTCTTTTTACCAACAAGTTTGTTTTCAGAGTTTTGGAGGCAGAAACCATATCCAAATTAGACAAGAGAAATCCTTACCAACTACACAACTCTTTAATGTCAAAAAATATATATTATTTTAAATAAGCCAACGAAAACCACTGTTCATATGGGGCCCACTATGTTTGTTATCTTGGGAATAGAACTGTGAAATAAATTATTTGGAACTGGCTGACATGCCTGACAGTGTAGATCCAGAAGCTACAATAAATGGTACAAAATAAGAGAAATGGTTTTCAGAACATACAAACAAGATTTCTGAGCAAGAGTCATTAACAATAGTATCTTCAGTATGATCCAAAAATATAAATGCAAAACAAGCATCTGATATTGTGCTTTTAAGGTGCTTTAAATAGGCCTAAGTAATCAACCCCCCAGTAGTTATACCTATAGTTACAGTATTACCAAAGCTTGAATTCAAGGATAAAAGAAAAATTTAGTTGTATTGAGAAGTCATTTCCAGCTTACAATGAATTTATTGTTGGCTATTGGTCTTCCATTGTTCAGACTAGTCAGTTTGAAAACAAGAAAAATCCAGAGACTAAAGGTAAAATTCAAACACTTTCCTTCCCTACCATCAATTACATATATTGGTTGTTACTATAAAACCCAGAGTCAAATGTAGCTTTTTCAGCCTCTGTGGTAGTCTGTCACTTGTCAGGACTGCTCGGTGGTGCACATTTTCATAAAGAGGCCAAGTTTTGAGTCCCACAGCACACCTGGAGATGGATAACTTCATTTGTTCCCTTGGCATTTCCTGGCTCCCAAACCAAAAAAGTTTCTGTCCAATACTTCCTGGCACACTCACTTTCTCTGCTCTTTTTTTTTTTTTTTTTTTTTTTTCCTTGTCTTGGTTTTGTTGTTGTTTTTATTTTTATTTTTTTTATTATTTTTTTATTTTTCTTTTTTTGCAACAGTTTGAGAGAGCTTTGTTATAATAGCAGCGTGATTAGAATGAGCCAACTGTTAGGGTGTTCCTTTCACAAACATATATATATATTTTTTTTATTCTCACCCGGGGACATTTTTCCATTTTTTGTTCAGATAGAGTGGGAGGGAGAGAGAGAGAGAAACATCGACGTGAAAGGGACACATCGAGTGGTTGCCACACGCACGACCCATCCAGGGCCGAGGACAAACTGCAACCAAGGTACATGCCCTTAGCAGAAATCAAACCCAGGTCTCTCTGGACCACAGGCCGACACTCTAACCACTGAGCCAAACTGGCCAGGGCACAAACATATTTTTTAATTGTTAAATTGGACTTTTACATATTGGCTTTGAAGATGTGTGGCACTGCTCCTGAAGCTGGGGAATCTGAACTGAATGAATGATTCAGTGAAGGGTTTCCGTTCCACAGTTTACTAGCTCTGTCATCTAACCTCTTCAACTTTCTAAGCCTCAACTGCTTTCCTAATATGGTGGTCACGACTGCCTGGGTAGTGACAAGCAAAGAAGATAACATAGAAGAAAGTGTTGGTCAGTAAGTGTGCTTTTTGTTTTTTCGTGTTTTTATTGATCTTTTTAGAGAGAGAGGAAGGGAGAGAGAGATAGAAACATTGATGTGAGAGAGAAACATGGATCGGCTGCCTCCTGCATGCCCCCTACTGGGGATCAAGCCCACAACCCGGACATGTGCCCTGACCGGGAATCAAACCAGGAATCAAACCAGGACCTCTCAGTCCATGTGACTTCGCTCAATGCAGTGAGCCACATTGGCCAGGCAGTAAGTGTGCTTTTGATGGTGAGTAACAGAACACCTGAGTATGGTCGCTTAAACAATACAGTCATTGAAATATCTTGCATAACCAGAGAAGCCTAGAAGGCATTCAGAAGATTTTGAGTTAGTTTAGTGGCTTGACCACAACGGTTGCTGCAACTCTAAGCATGAGTCTTCACACAAGAGTAGCCAGTATAGAAGAGAAAAAGGCAGGAAAAAGAGTCTTCTTGAGAGGCTTTCTCTTTTATTTGAGTCAGGGGAGAGTCCCAGAATCTCTTGGCAGACTTCCCTTATAGCCACCAGACTTCCCTTATAGCCAGAGCCAGGGCCCATGATCATCACTATCCTATCACTGGCAAGGGTAATGGGGTTGGCCAATCTTGATTCATCCCCTGAGGCTGGGCATGTTGCCAGTGGAAGAGAATTGTGGCTTTGTGAGGAAGGAAGACTGGGGATGGCTACTGGGGAACAACCAATGGTGTCAGGTGGGTGCCATAAAGTACAGGACAGACATCCATTGACATACCAAAATTTTTATAACTAAACCCCTTTCCACTGCAGTGTTTCCCAAGATCCATACTTTGGGAACACTCCAGCCACACAATTTCTGTTTCCCTCAGTATCCTGCTGTTCAGCTCTGCCTCCAGCCATAGTCAAAGGCAAGGTTGCTGTGCTTGGGATTCTCTCTGGCACAATCTCATGCTTTGCAGTTTATGGTCTTTAACCCTTAAGCAGATGCCATTCTGATCCCATAGTAACTGGCTTGGAGGGCCTCCACACCGGGGACAGCATTCTAAGGCCCTGCTTTCCAACTTCATATCACAGCATACACAGGGGGTGTAATAGTTATTCATCACGCTGCAGTAAGGGGAAGAGGCTACTCAGGCTGGAGGCAACTGGCCCAGTCGTTCTGAGGACCAAGGGAACCAGTGTACCCAAAAC